CCCCCCCACCAAAAAAAAAAAAAACAAAGATCCCGAGACCCTAGACGGCTGAACACCGCAACAAACCTATTGCAGTTTTCCAGGCTCGGGATGAAAAGGTCGTAGGGTAGTATACCCGCAAACTGACAATGCCTTGAAACAACGTAGCCCGACAGCAATGCGACATTTCGCAGATGTCGTTGCCGAGTTCCCTGGCCAAGAAACGGAAAAAGCTGTCGGATCAAGCCTGCTCCAAAAGCCTGAAGCCTTCACCTGCTCGGCCTCTACTAGCAAACATAGTTCTTCAGAGGCCCCTTGAACAGGGAGCAGAGCTCAAAGTACCTAAAACCAAGGAGTCAAGCAGCACCTGAGTGAACCGCGGATTTGCAATTGTAAGGTATGTGCCGTTGTGGAGGCATATACCACCACACCCTATAAAGAGGCAGCGTATCGGCTTTTGGGCTCCAAGAAAAGAGGGTTGTGGGCTGTTAGAGTGCGGGGATTTTCAATGCCTTTTTGGGTTCAGGTTGGACTTTGAGGCTCAAGGGACCTTGGAAGCCAGGTAGTGAACACTTTTCATGGGCTCTAGGTGCTCAAGTTTAGGGGTCAGGTCAGGTATATGCAAACAACCTGAGTGAGGATGCGTAGGATAACCCTTTCGGAGCCTTGAACCCCGAAGCCGAACATGGCCAAATCCCGCACCCACATACCCTTAAACCCGAACCTTGAGCCATTGGTCAGAATAGCTGCAGCCAAGAGGCTCCACCACTTCCAGCTGGGCACCCCGTACCGCCAGTCCTGCTGAACAAAAGGTGCAGAGAAGACCACGACCCCTTCTTCAAAAAACAATGTGGTGGGTTGACTCCTGGCGCCAGCTTTTACGACTGAGCGTCTTCTCTTGCTAGTCTCATGTTCTGCTGTGGCAGAGGTACTGGGAGGCTTCGCCAGACCAGCGCTGCGAGAGGATTCGTTATGAGTGCGAAAGTGAGCGAACCCAAATCATACGGAAGATACCCGGAAAGGAAGAAGTGGAGAAAGACGAAGGCGCCAAAAATGGAGATTCCTGGCAGGAGGAGGAGCAAGGACTTGAAGTAGTCCAGTAGTCGGCAGTGACACCTTGCCTGCATGGTCCAAGACAAGCGAAACATTATGCGGACCAGCATCGGAACCACCCCTAGCCAGTAAGACAGGCCCACGAGAAGAATCAAGATTCCAGTTAGCAATGCTCCATCCTCTGCCGAATCTGTGAAATACCGTATGCGTAGGTGACGTGCCACTACATCAAGATGAAACCACAAGAATACCGGAGCGGCCTCGGCTAAACGCCAGTATGAAACCATGTGATTGGAAAGCTGATCCACCAGCAAATCACATAAATCGCTTTGAACATGCCGTTCAAAAGCTTCCGTGCCCCCAAACCAGATATTGATGCATTTCTGCATCACCTCTCGGTCGCACATCATGGGCTCGTCGCCACCGGGTCTTCTGTGCTTTACAGAGCAGCAGAAGCTTTCAGCAGTTGCAACACGGAACAGTCCGATATGCTGGCACATGATGGTAACTTCACGGCAGTACTCACGGGCAAGGTGCGCAATGTACCAGAAAATTAATCCGCAGAAAGCAATCGCAATGAACTGCATGATGACATCGTTGCGGCCGCTAGAATAATCCGATCCAATTGTGTGGTTAGTGAAGTGGAAAGCGAAACCTCCAAGCGCAAACGCAAGCCAGAATGCACACATCACGAATCCCAGCATGGTTGGCCGGATGATGATGCATGGCTTCTCGCCTGGGGACCTGCTGCGAATGAACGCGGCCAGCTCGTACACACACCACAAGCGACGAGTCCAAGACGGATCCCAAGCACCAGCATGGTATCGGCACGTTTAACTATGGCCCCCAGGCTAAAGGTGCCCTCCGTTTGGAGTTGAGGATCAGCCTGAGAGATGCATACACGGTCGACAAATACCAACTGTTGCGGCCGCCAAAACATCATTGTCAGCAAATAGCCGAGGCATCCAAGGCTCAAGCACCACCAGCTGTGCGTCTTATCGTCCGGAAGCTCTCCAATCCCAAAAGCGATACAAGCCAAGACGGCTGCTACAGTGCCCACCGTGACCGCGGCCTTGGCCAACCTTTCCTGAAACAGAACCATGCCAGCTGTGGGACCAAAACGCATGCAGGCGAGTTGTGCTTTGACTCAGATGATAGAAATCGCCATAAATTCTCAGGGGCCGGGCCAGGCCGTGAAGTACATTCTGGACGCGAGTGGCCCGGATGACCTCAGGCCGGGTCGGCTCCATCTTCGAGATGATCTCCGCTATCCACTCTGCTGAAGGTTCAGCGTCGGCCAGTGCCTCATCTTTTACCGAACAGTTGGACCGCTCTCCTTCAACTTCTTCCTGGACGAGGCTTTCCTCACTTTCCTCTGAAGAAGAGTGGGGCCTTTCCAGTGGCACCGAGTCTTGGAAACCGGTGTCATTCTCGAAGGCGTCGCTGTGTCCTAGTACGTCCGCTGTCGGCTCCATGGCCAGGGCCAGGGAGCGCAGCTTGGATTCCAATGCCCTGGCTACGAAGGTACTTTAATCTCTCTTAAAATCCAGGTTTCACGACCTTCTACTATTTAGGGCAAACACAAGGGACGGTAAAAAACCTAAATCTAGGACGGAGGTCATGGCTGGAACATCCCAGTATGGACGGCAAGGATTCACGTAAAGCCATGCTGAAACTTGGAGTACAATTATCTTGTAATCGATCAGCGACCTACATCAGATAGATCAAGACAGAAGGAATCAGGTCTTTGTGCGGAGAGAGTGCTGAGGCAATACAAATGAGAATGATACTTGCAAGGCTTGTCATACTATATAAAGCTCACTCGGCGGTATGACTGCAACAAGGCCGTGCAGCTGGGTCAAACCTGCAGATCCACAACTACGGTTTAGAGTTGAGGGAACATACCATCGAGCCATGCAGACGATGGAGCAACCTTCCTGAACACCGGCAATGATGCTGATGAATTCGCATAGGTATGGACTCAGCAGGGACTAGGATCTCAGTAGTGATATCACATCTATGATGGCTCGTCATGAAAAACAGACTTCAGATTGTACATCTGCCGTGCGATACCATGTGGGATGCTCCGAATTTGTCATCCGCCATAATCTTTGATCCCATCCCGAATCAGACAGACACATGAGTGTTTGCAAAAGCACCCTTTCGGGCTCACCCTATGACTTCCTCACTGCTCCCTGCTGCGATGGGCTTCTGAAGACAATTACGCACCCAGATCTGCCGGCGTCTCATGTAATATGGGGAGGGAGGGGGGGCGTCAACAAATTGAATAGTTTAGTGTACATTTGTATAAACTAGAACATTTATAGACATCAGGAGCCTGAACGCATGGTAGTCTAAAAACTCAGACTTGTATAATACCGCGTAAACCAGATTACGGCCAGCTATTTTCAGTCAGCTCAGGACGTTCACGACACCCCCGCCGAAGAACCTCCAAAAGAAACACCCAAACCCTAAAGCCTAAACCCTGCATCCGACACCCTCAAACTCAAAATTTCCCTTCGTTACACAAAGAAGTTTCACAAATTAGGGCCCTAATGTAACCCAAACAGGAGGATCCTTATGACGAGAACCCCGAAAAATATTAGGCACCCCTAAAGCAAGAACTTATCCAAAGCCTCTAACACCACCATAAATCTCTAAATCAGATTCGCTAGTACCGCTAAATGAAGCCCTTCCAAAAGGGACCAGGGGCCGAGGGCTGTGTCACCAGAGCCATCGCGAGCAGCCAGCGGCGCACCCAGCGTGCGCAGCAGGGCCAGGGACCTCATCTCTCAGAATTCCTTCAAGGATTCCGCTTAATTGTCCGATTCAGGTTAAGGTTTCGTTTTAAGGGTTGCCAAGAGGGTTACTCTAGGGTTTAGGATGGTTTAAGGTTTGGGGAGCACAGATTTGTGTAGTAGGAGGGCCCAGATCGCCTCACCAGCGAGGCCGGTAGCTGGTAGGAATACTGAAGGCCCCAGGCCTATTTTACATAGGTCGCCATCGCGAGACATTCTCCATCGTGGCATCGAAGGGCGCGGAAGAAGCGCTCAACTGCTTGGAGGACCCTCAAACGTGGTCGCTCCATTTCTAGGAAACAAAGACACCGGCTGATCGAACATCACGCCACTGAGCAGCGTGATCGTGAGCTTTTGCTCCGACCCCTCTTGCACATGGGCAAGCAGGGATGGAATGCAGGAGGCCGCGGAGGCCAAGACAAGCAGTATGGCAACTATGGGCGCAAGTGGGACTATTGGCCTGGTACCTGGCGCAGCCCTTATCGGGCTCGCAGTCTGGAATTCCCCAGCTACGATGCGGACTGGAAGGGAGAGCAGCTGGTCGAAATTCGGGAACGGGATGCGGAACCGGACCCGACTACCCAGCTTATGAACCACATGCAGAGCACTATCAACCAGTCCCGCAAGTACGACAACAAGTTGGCCAAGCTTCTGAGAGAACAGGAGGAGCGATCCCGGAAGTGGGAGGCTTACAACCTCAAGCTTCAGAAAGCCTTTCAGGCGGAAAAGAAGCGACATTATGCAGAACAAGAACGGATTGCCCGCGAGATCGAAGAAATCAAGGGCCTGCGAAAGCAGGCACACCACCACATGGTGCAGACCGCGGAACTTGGCACGGCCGAGACTATCCAGATGATGGATGTGGAGACAAGATCCCAATGGGAAAAGATTACAGGCGAACTTCGCGCCGAGCAGGAGGCCCTCCCTCGGTTCGGGGGTCATCCAGCGAACAATCATATGGCGGCCCCGCCCGAGCCGACTCACGAGATTGCCGCGCACCCAGCTGCACCTCCTGGTGTCCCGTCGGAAGTTGTTGCACAGGTCGCTGCCAGCTTGCTCCAGAACCCACAGATGATGGCTGCGATGATCCAACAAGGGATGCCTCTGCCTGCGGGGGCGGGTCCTCCGCCCATTTCTCCGACAGGCATTCCGCCTGGGAATCCGGCTCTTGCTTCGGCTGGGCCCCTTACGGAGCTACAGCGGATTATCTCCAAAGTCGAGAGTGGAGCCCTATGTGGCAGCCAGCCCCAAGCCGGCCTTGGATGCGGCCGGCAATCTGGCCAGCAAGGATACGGGACAACAGACTCTAGCAGACGAGCTGAATGCAGCTCGAGGAAACGCCTTGGCCCCTTTCCGGGCGGGTGGTGTCATCCCCACGACGGCTTCGGCAGATGCGAGCACCGATGGCCATCAGGCGGCGGCTGCGATCGATCTGGACTCGCCCACCAATGCAGAGCCGCCCCCTGGTTTGGAATCTCCGGGGCTCAGGAAGATGGAGTGACCTTCCTGTCTCTCCCGCTGAACAGATGTCGTGGGTGCGGTGATACTGGCCTGGAGCACCCTGGGACTGTGAGACAATTGTCCCTGGCACTTGTTTCCTTTCCCTCGTTGTGCCTCGGGCTCTGTTTGACCTGCCCCCTCGACAGCTGTGGCGGTGTGGAGGGACCCGTGCTGTTAGGATACTGTACAATATTCTGCGGATGCTTTTCTTCGGTAGTTGGTGTACAGAACCCTCTTTTTTGCATGGCCCCTTGGCATCCATGTCCCGCTGGGTTCTTTCATGCAGGCTCGCTGCATACAATACCGCCTTCTGCTTTTTCGAACCGGTGTGCACAGGCCCCTGTCAGGTCTCTAGAACCAGTTTTTCAGGGAGACAGTCGTGTGCAATGCATCTCATGCCAGCAGCCTTATGCGCCAAAGAGGAGAATCGGTGGCTCGGGGTCTCTCGCTATAGGCTTGCTGGGTATTGATGCCAATCTTGTTTTTACCTCAGCTTGTGGTGCACTTCCGACCATGAGAGGCTTTGTATGGCCTTCGAATCATGTTGCTCCCAGGCACTTACCTTCCCTCTGTGCACCCCCTTTTGATGGGTGCCCTTCGTGCCAGTATATCCATCAGCCTGATGCGCCAAAGAGGAGAATCGGTGGCTCTGGGTCTCCCGCTAGGTGCTGGTGGTTAAAATAAATAGGATTAGTCATGTGCGTGTGCCACACAATGCCTGTGCCACTTCCGACACGCCTGGTGGCCTTCAAAGTCCCTTCGCAGTGGCCGTGGTATCCCTTACCCCCTCGGGTTTAGTTTTCCTGCACCCGCCTTTTGGGTTCATCTTTAGGCTTCTTTGGTGGATTGAAGCAAGCATCTGTCTCCCAAAAGCAGCAGCCTCGTGCCTTCTGGCTTTATGTTGGCAGATGCTCCTCAGAGGTTGCGTTCGCAAAGCAGCCTTGGCCGAAGGCTCCGTGAAGCGATGCTCGGGGCAACCTATGCTCGCTTCCCTCGTGCCTCTTGCCGCATGTGCATCTCCTACCTTCCGGGAGAAGGTGGGTGCCGTGCCGCCGCGCAACATCGTAAGAGGGAAGGGTTTTGCCATAGGCTTGTGTGGTAGGATTTGCCTATGGGTGATTCTTGCATTGCAGTGCCCACATTTGGTGTGGGCAGCCCCGAAGTGTGCGGCTGAGCTGACGCAATTTTATGGCCTCACTGACTTCGCAGGTGCCGAAGATTTTCCTGTTGAGGGCAGTGCGCTTGCAGATGCTTTGCCTGACCCCCTCCCAGGTCATGATAGCACCAGGCGCTACCTTGGTGTGCAGATAATGGCACCCAATTTTCAGCATGTGTATATGCAGGTGCCTGCAGACAGGTGGGCCAACCAAGATGATGTAATGGCACAGGCTGTGGTTGCGGCAACACACCATTTCCACCATGATTTTGCGCACGTGGTGCCCACGGACCCACAAATCTTTCAGGGCTACGCAACTTTTGTTGCGGAAACTCCGTGGCTCGCTGCATCGGGTCAAGTAGTTGTGGTTCTCGATTTGCTTAGGCTTTCTGGCAATCGCTTTGCTTGTATGCTGCCCAACACGATGTCAGTTGCACAACTTTCAGCCTATATTGCACCGCTAGTCGGCATTGATGCCGACAGCATCGAAATCTACATTGGAGCGGCTCTCCGTGTTCGTGCCCCAGCTGAGGAGGTGCAACTGGTCTCTGGCCAAGTTATTACTGCTATGCCTCTTGGCATTCTTCCTCATTTTTGGGGATCTGTCGAGGAGTTGCTGGCAAACCCTGATTCGTGGGGCCCTGCCGATCAGTTTCCACGGCCTTTGGCAAGAGCCGGAATCTGTCTGCTGCATGAGGGCAGGCGCTTCTTTGTCAATCGTAGGTTTTATCCTGGCCAGCCGGCCAACGAAGCAGCGGCGCAGTGCGCGGGACTGACCCCCAGCACCTCAATCATGCGTGTAGCCAGGTCGCCAGCCCTGGAGAATGTGGCCATGCATGGAAACGACTGCAAGGGTGTCGCTTGCGTGGTAGGGGTCCCACCGCCACCCACCTCTGCTGATTCCCCAGATCGAGGGGACAATGTGCTCTTCTTTGATCTGAGGCCACTTTTGCAAAGGCCTATCTACCACTATCAGATCGGTCAGACCAGACATTGGCCGACCGTTCTGTCGTCTCTTGGCGTTTCAGCACCTCGAGGCATGCAGCTTCAGATTGAGGGAGCCAGCCATTCTGATGGATTTGTCACCACGTCCTCGGGACATACAATTGTTGTCCGAGCCTTTTGGCCACCCGTGGATGACGCGTCGCTGCGGGATGTCGAGAATGCCTCCGAGGACCGCGATGATGAGTACCAAGATGACCACAGCAATGGGCCCGGATCTGAATCTGGTGCCCCATCAGTCTTTGATTCGTCAGAAGCCGATTCGGATGCGAATGAAGCACCCAGTCGGCCCAGAAGCCGCTCGCCACGGCGCTACGGCGCGGCGGGATGTTGTGCTGCACATCTTCGCCAGAAAAGCCCATTTACCGGCCCAGCTGACATGTGGATTTGCAGTCTACTCAAGCACGCTCCTCCTCGGGAGCCCTGCAATGACACCCCTGTCTATGTTGGCAAGGTTCATGGACCCCTTTCAGGTGTTTGTTGGTCAATTGTTACCAATGGCACCGAGTGCATGAAAAGGTATTGGGGCAATGCTGATTTCAACAGCTTCAAACCTACATGTCCAGAGCTCGAGACCGCCCGGCAACTACGACTGGCCTCTTGTATGGTGTGCTGTCTCCGCGCGCTTTGCGTTGTAGTTTGCGTAGAGACTGCAGCCCTTTCATGGTGTGCTTGGGCATTTGTTGCTCGTTGCTTTGTTGCAAAAGGTCAGGATTCCTTGGGCTCTCAGGCGCCACAAGCCGCCAGGGATGAGCGCAATGCGCAGCTCCTGCGCACCCCTACGCAAGGGCCGCCTTCCCCCCTGCAGAGCCCCACGCCTGATTTTCAGATCGACCACCCGGCCACAGGGCAGCAACCACGCCCGTTGGTGGTAAGGCACTGGACTTTTGTCGTCCTGTACCCCCAGCATTCGAGGGAAGATGTTGTGGTGCCGCTTCCTGCGCCGTGTCATGTGCAACAGGCAATCAATGCTGTGTCAGCCGCCAGGGACGAGCAACGCCAATTGCTTTTTGGCAATCTGATCCCGGTTGTGCCCCAGCCTGCAGACGATTTTGGCACGCTCATCGCCGCACCTGCAGCGGTCGCATGTTGCGTCGTGTGTGTCGACCTACGTCAGGTTGATGGGCGATTCTTCTGTTTGAACTTGCCCGACCGGATGAATAGAGAATCGTTGCTTGCTGCCTTTGGCCTGACCGTCACCCCTGGCCTTGATGTATTATGCTCCTGCGCAGAGACCACTGGGTTGCTCATCCGGAGCTGCCCCGTGCCAATTTCGGCCGACGGTTCTGGGTCTTGACAGATGCATGGTCGATACTTTTCGATGCGGATAACTGCACCCGCGATTCTTTCAGGCCCTTGCTCTTCCAAGCCTTGCGAAGTAGTGGGGAAGCAGTGTCCATCCAGCCTGTCTTGCCTGGCATCGACGACTACGCACATTTGGGATACTCGTGTGAGAAGGTGACTGTTGCCACGGAACAGCTGCCCAAGATTCCCATCCCGCTTGGGAGGCCGAGACCACGACAGGTCATTTGCATACTTGACCAACGCCCCATTTTACGTGGGCTCTCGTGGAAACTTGCGATGGAGGGGAGGCTCCTGCTGGCCTCCCTCATCAATGAACTATCCCCTTTTGCGCCTGCCCTGCATCATGTCAACATCGTTGGGGGATCACTTGAGCATACAGCCCAGGGGGATTTTGTGCACGTCTGGCCCGGACAGGTCCTCCTTGTGCACTTTTTGCCTGATGCCCCGGTCAGGGATGAGGCTGACACTGATGGCCAGTCCTCTGACGACAGTGACGACGATGAGGCCAGTGAAGGCGACGACCCAGACCCGCGTACCGATTCGACTGACGGTTCCCAGGCAGGGCCCTCTGAAGATGAGTCTGACGGAGACCCGACAGGCCTACGCAGCCGGTCACCTCGCAGAGCCCTTTTCCTCCCTCTGCTAGCATTGGCTTTCACTCTCTTGTTTGCACAGACCGTTGGTGACAGCGACAGCAGCCGCGCACCAGGGCATCACCGATTAGCCCCTACAATTGCTGCGGCCTTTCTGCTCCTGCCTGCCTTGCTGCCATGGGCTGGCGTATGTACTAGACGAGCTGTCACGTGCGGTGCGGCCTTCAGCTTTCATTGGGCTGCAAGGCCTGTCGGTGCTATGCAGATCGCGCCGCATTTCCCACGCCCTCATCATGAAGCCGGCAGAGGTGACTTTGGTGCCAAACCTCGAGAGGTCACGGTCGCGCCGAGTCGCAGAGGACATTCTCATGAGGCACCTCGCCGGCCGATCCCGACACCCTGTAGAGTGCCCTGCCTCACCGTCCCCAGACCGTGCATTGGGGACCGCAGAATCTGTGAGCATGATAGTACTGACACTGGCGCAGAGGAGGCTGGAGCGAATTGCTCAGCGACAGGCTCAGTCATGCCTGATGACCTCGCCGAAGCCTTAGGCGGCCCGAAGGAGATTTTGTGTGCTGGAACAGCACTGACTTTGGCTGCAGCGGACCCACAGTGTGCAGCTTTTGCTATCGCTGCTGCGACTCTCGAAGTATTGTGCCAGCACTACGGAGCCTCCCCCGCTGGGAGTCGGCCGCCCAGCAACATCATTTGTCTGGAGCAGGCTTGCCCTTGCCCTGGGTCGGCCACAAGAGAAGGAGCCTTTCGGGTAGCGGTCCCACCTATTCCCCGCGGGCCGGAATGGGATCATGCACAGGTTGACCAGCCGTATGCGGCTACAGCTCTTGCGGGCATACCGTTGCCCTTTACCATTGCCGAACTTCTCGTTTTGTTTGCGAGTGCACCGCCCTTACTGGAGTGGCAAAGTCTGGGTGTCAGCCAAGCAGTCATGAAGTGCCTTAATTGTGCTGCACTACATCGATTGTGTGAAGAAGTGGCCCTGCCACAGCAATGCCGTCGCATTCTCTGCTTCACTGACGGCTCCTTTTATCCACCCAGTTCAACCAGTGCTGCCAAGGCCGGGTGGGCCTGTGTTTTCATTGAGCCTTCCACGCACACGTGTAGCTGTGCGTATGGCTCTTACCCTGACTGGCTCTTGGAGCCCTCTGAATGCCCATCAGCTTACCTTGCGGAATGTGCAGCCTTGGTCTTTGCTGGCCTTATTTCCACTGGTGCCTTCCGACAAACCTCTGTCTGCTTCTTGTCAGACTGCCAGGCAGCCTTGGGTATTGCCTCGGGCAACTACACCTTCGCCGCCGGAGGATGCCCCCAGGCTGTGAGACATGTCATTGAGGCCCGCCGGCAACTCGCTGCAGTTCGATGGTCTCCAGACACCTTTGAGTACATCCCCGGGCACAAAGGCCACTTCGCAAATGAGCTTGCCGATAGGCTCTCCAAGCATGGGGTTTTGCATGGGCCTGCTCCTGGGGCCAAGGAGACCCTGATGAAATGGCTAGCGCATGGTGCGCCGTGGCTGCCCTGGGCTGCCACCGTTTTTGCCCCGATTCTTGCCGATCCCTGCAGACAAACAGCCATGCCCCCTGCCAATGGCAATCCTGCTTGCAAGACCCAAGATCATGCAGGTCTCAGCCCTTCCGAGATCATTGCCCCTTTTGTTCCAATCGGAGTGTTGGGAGACTCCGTTCCAGACCGCCCTGCGGAACAACGACACCTCGAGCTCAGGGTGCTAAGCTTCAACACCTTGTGTCTGGGGAATGCCCAGGACAAGGAACCCGAGGCAGGTGAGGGTTTGACCAGCGGCCCAGCGAGAGCAGCCCTGTTGGCAGATCAGCTCAAGGCTCACAACATCACTGCGGCTGCTCTGCAGGAGACGAGAAGCGACGCTGGCTCTACTCGGGTTGGCGGTTTTTTGAGATATGCCGCGGGGTCCGAACGAGGCCAGTTTGGTACCGAATGGTGGTTTCTCGATGGGGCCCCGCTCACCAAGTCGGACAACCCGGCCCGGCAGCACCGCTTTGAGGCACAAGCTTTGACTACTGTCTTTGCGGATTGTCGCCGCCTATTCATCCGGTATAACCGCCCTGGCATGCACATTCTGTTTGTCAGTTTGCATGCTCCACACCGCGCGACGGAGCATCACATCCTGGAAGAATGGTGGCGGACCACCCTCAGCCTTGTTTTCCAACATCGCCGAAGCGATTGGCTCATTGTGGCCGGTGATTTCAACTGTGCCCTCGGCAGTATTGGATCTCGCCATGTTGGCCCCTTGGCGGCTGAGGAGGAGGACCTATCAGGTGCCTTTGTCCATCGCATGCTCCGTGCCGCTGATTGTTGGACCCCATCTACTTTTGAGCATTGTCATGTCGGCGGCCATACCACCTACGTGCAAAAGCGTAATGGGCGAGGGTGTAGAGTTGACTTTGTTTGCCTACCTTGTGCCTGGACCGCGGCGGCGGTGACGTCTTCGCTTGTACCCGAGGTGAATGCCGCGCATGCAACCATCGATCACACGGCGGTCATGGCTGATTGCAAGGTCGCCTTGACGCTTCCAGGTGCGCCTGCACGAATTCGGGCCCGTCGTTACTCGGCTGAGCAGGTCCTGGACCCCCAGAACCAGGCTGTGATACGGCAAGCTCTTTATTCTGTTCCTGATGTGCCTTGGAGCGTCTCTGCCCACGCGCATGCGTCGATAGTTACTCGCCATGTGCAGGAATGTCTTGAGAAGCTGCAACAAGCACCCCGCACCAGACCCCGCCACGTCTACTTGCAGGACACAACTTGGGGATTGCAGCAATCGGTGTCTAAACTTCGCCGAGATTTCCACAGACTCCGGGAGCAAACGGCCCTGCAGCTGCGTGCAGTTTGTTTCAGTTGCTGGAAGAGTGGAGTGCCTTTCTATGATGTCTGGAGCAGCTCTGCCTGGTTTTGTCGAGCTGTTCTTGCGGACGCTTGGTACCGGCAAGTTTTGGACACCAAGTGCAGGCAACTTAGGACAGCTTGTCGTCATGATCGTGCTGCCTACATCAGCGAGCTTGCCCAGCGAATCGCGACCCGGCCCAACCCTGAGGTCTTCCAGGAGGTGCATCGGATCCTCATGCACAAGAGAAAGAAGCCGTGGCAGGCAGATCCTCTGCCTATGATTAGGCAGCTGGATGGATCAGTGTGCGAGGATGCAGCTGCAGTGCAAGCTCGATGGAGGCAGCATTTCGGAGGACTCGAAGCAGGCATCGAAACCACCCCAGCAGATATCGCTGGCAATGTCCTTTCACAGAATGTGCAGTCGTGGCCACAGCCCCTCAGCCTCGCCCATGTTCCAGACATCACCGTGCTGCAACGGGTGCTTGCTGCCGGCAAGTTGCACAAGGCAGCCGGACCGGATGGAATCCCCGCTGAGTTGGGGAAATCCTTCCCCATTGAAGTCGCAGACCTCCTTCTCCCCCTGTTGCTCAAATTCGCGCTCAGGGGGGAGGAGGCGGTCGGTTTCAAGTCTGGACTTGCCATCTTTTTCTGGAAGGGCAAAGGATCGCATCAGGAGTGTGGATCCTACAGAGTGATATTGTTGCTCAATGCATGGGCTAAAGCCCTTCATCAGTCGCTACGGCCCCGAGCACTGCAAGTGTACCACCAGTCGGCTCCGCCGCTCCAATTGGGTAGCCGCCCTGGAAGCAACGTGGTGTATGGGTCGCATCTCGTTAGGGCCTTTCAGAGGTGGGCAGCTTGCAGCGGTACCACTGGTATTGTCGTATTTGCGGACATAGCTTCTGCCTATTATTCGACAGTACGGGAGTTGGTAGCATGCAGACCCGGAGCTGAGGGGACAGGCATTCCCGAAACAGCTTTGGCCAACCTTAGTCTGTCTTTCGATGATGTCGGCAGGCCGGGGCAGACCCATGGACTGAGGCAGTGTCGCATTGCATCACGGATGGAACTTTTTTCTTGCTCCGCGACGACTCGGTCGCGGTCGCCACAGAGCGTGGTACCCGTCCGGGGTCCAGTTGGGCTGATATCCTTTTCGCAACTGTCATGCAGCGAGTGTTGCACTGCCGAAACCGGCTGAGGAGTGGCCTGCTCTACCCGACCCAGGAGCCGCGGATCCCATGGGACGGGCAGCGAACCCTTATGCCATGCATGCAGTGCCGACTCGGGTTCCATACCACTTGACGAAGTGGTCTGGGCAGATGATCTTGCCACCATGAGGCTCTGCCGAAATCCCGCCCAAGCCCCTGCTGCCATGGGTTTAGAGGTCGGTTGTTTAGTTGATGCTTTCCGGGAACACGGCTTTGCTTTGTCCTTCGGAAGCCGCAAGACGGCCATCTTGGCATCGCCAGCTGGAGCCGGGTCTCGTAAACTCCGGCATGCTCTTTTTGGGACACAGGCGGGC